GGTGCCCCTGCAGTGTGATCCGGCTGATCATGCAGTACCTGAAGGAGAACAGCCTCCACCGAGCCCTCGCCACTCTTCAGGAGGAAACTACTGTGTCCCTCAACACCGTGGACAGCATTGAGAGCTTTGTGGCTGACATCAACAGCGGGCATTGGGACACGGTGCTGCAAGCCATACAGTCGCTGAAGCTGCCCGACAAGACCCTCATTGATCTCTATGAGCAGGTGAGCGAGTGCAGGCTGTGGTCAGACTTCCCTGGCCGGGGTGGAAGCCCCTCTCCGGAGTTGTCCGCTTACCCTTTGCTGATGCAGATGTTTGTCTCTTGCTGCAGGTTGTGTTGGAGTTGATTGAGCTCCGGGAACTAGGTGCTGCCAGGTCTCTCCTGAGACAAACAGATCCCATGATCATGCTAAAACAAACTCAGCCAGAGCGGTACATCCACCTTGAAAACCTTCTGGCCAGATCTTACTTTGATCCTCGTGAGGTATGTTACGCTTTTCCTTGGGACTCATGTTGCTGTCTTGCAGGACCCTTAGCATCGGTCCGAGTTGCTAACAGCTTACAGGATCTTTTCTCTTCCATTCTGAGAGTGAGAGAGCGCAGCTTCCCAGTTTGTTGATTTTACACATTTTATGAAGTGTTTGGGAAGTGATGTGTAAGACTGGATCGTGAGGCAGCAGAGCAGTGGTTTTGAAGTATACTGAAGGTGGGAGTTTGGGGATTTATGCCAGTATCCTGCCACAGGATGACATCTGTGCCTTGCTTTTCCCATCTTAAGTACACATGTACTTTTGTAAATAAAATTGTTGTTGTATAATAACAATAATGAGAAGGCATTATTTGTGCCTGATTATGTCAGTCTGACGTTTTTGGTGAAAGCATATCCCAAATGTTTCAAGGGTTGGTGTTAAAAGAGAAGGGCTGTTTTGAAGGCCTAATAGAAAATTAATCTGGAAGGGGCTTCAGTTCAGAGCAATGAATGTTTTTGTGGAAAATAGTTTAGAAGAATTACTTTGTAAAAAAAAAAAACAACCAACAAAACAAAAAAAAAAAACTTCTTTCTAGGCATACCCAGATGGAAGTAGCAAAGAGAAGCGGAGAGCTGCTATTGCGCAAGCTTTAGCTGGAGAAGTCAGCGTGGTACCTCCGTCTCGTCTTATGGCGCTGCTGGGGCAGGTAATTCTTGAAAAATGTTTTGGTAGCTATGGCAGTTTCTGTAGATCTTTGCCACATAAAACTATGATGTAGTTGATTCTCCAACTGTATAAAAGTAAAGCTGAAATATTGCACATTTACATGTGGTATAGTTAAAAATTATGTTTTCACCATGTGGCAAGAATTTAGTGGTTCTAGGAAAAGTCAATGCTCCAGCAGTAGATTTCTTCCCATAGAACAAATACTCAGTGCATAGAGATTATTTTCAAAGTGCATACTAACACACATTGTTTGTGTTGTGGCACTTACAACTCTTTTTTTTTGATTCTCAGAATGTAATAATTGATAATGTGTGCATACAGTATTTAATGCATTTTGCTGTTTTATGGCTTATATATCACTTTTTAAGCTTGTAAGTATGCAGAATAAATTTTCTCGACATAACAGGCGTGTCCTGTGACTGGAGGCAACTCTCAGCTGAAGGGGTTGTATAAGATTGTCTTTTGAATGGCATTCACTTGTGCCTTCCAAGAAGGCGTATGCGTAATTTTTAATTTTAATGTATGCAGTTCTAGGCAAATAGACATCAGGTCAGGTAATTTAACTTAACACAAGATCGAACTCAAACTGTGTGCGTGCTATATACTGCGTACTGAAGGTAGAATGAGAAGGGGTGGTCCTGAGTCATTCTCACTTGCAGAAATCGTTTGGGGATAACGTTCTGTTCTGTTTGTGGCTGTGAGTTAGGAATGAGCTGGTAAGTCTTGTTTCAGGTAATTGTTTGCAGTGCGTTTGTCTCAAACTGTACAGGTGTACAGTTTGTAAAGATACAAAGATCTATGGCTGTATTGTGTTAATTAGAAGCAAGTTTTGCTGAGGAAGATGTATGTTAACTGATACCAACTGTATGGCTTTCAACTCCTCAAAAGGCACTGAAATGGCAGCAGCATCAGGGCCTGCTTCCTCCTGGTATGACAATTGACTTGTTCAGAGGCAAAGCAGCTGTGAAAGACGTAGAAGAGGAGAAGTTCCCCACACAGCTGAGTAGACATATTAAGGTGATGTTGTGTTTGCTGTTATGTGTGTTATTGCTGCTTGTTCTTTCCTGTGCTTTATGTTGGGAGATAAACGTAAACCTTCTGAATTCTTCTGTTCTCTCTCTCTCTCTCTCTGTTTTGGTTTTTTTTTCCCCCTAACTTCTCCGTGCTTTATCTCATCAGGAGACTTTTCGTGAGAGTCTGAAATGAGGTCCCTTGGCAAGAATGGGTGCTCATGGTATTTGTGAATATGATAAATGTATTGATTGTTTCTTTGACTTCACGGTTCAGAATCTTTCCATTTTCAGAAGTGGTTTGCTTTATTTGTACAAGAAAATACTCAAGTCTTAAACTTCTGTGCATGCATATTAGCTTCTGTGAACCATTTAAGTTTTGATTATAAACTAGTATGTATCAGGTCTGCTAATATGATTGGTATCTCCTTTTCAAGGATTTTATCATACAGATTTCAAAAGAGAAAGAAAACTGCTGTAGTGTTGTCCTGCAGCACTCACAGTGTGGACTAGGCAGTTTCCTCCTGTGAAGGTTCTTCAACTTCACTAAGCAGTTCTGCACAGTGAGAAGTGTTAGTTCATTGTAGTAGGTCTACCAGTTCTCACAACGAGCAGAAGATAATGTATTTTGGAAGTCATGAGTTGGAACTTGTAAAATCAATTCGCTGTGTTCAGTAGCAGCTTGGTAAAAATGCTTTATTAGAACTTGTTTTGTTTACCAGCACTGCTCTTGGATTTTTCTATTGATTAGTGAATGCTATTCTGTACTCAGTTGTCATGGTCACTTATATTTAAAAATTTTAAAATATTTTAAAATTTTAAAATTGTATATAAAAAATACCAAACATTCTCTGTGAAAACTTCACTGGAGAAACATCATTCCAAGTGAAGCAACTTATACTACTTCAGAAGTTTTTGAAGTCTCTTAGGGATGTATTTTGGGTTCCGGAAAGGTATTTGGTAACATACACAACTCACTGCAAAAACAAAAATAGGAAGACAACCAACCCAACCGCTGCTGTGAGCATGGAGTGTTTGATGTAAGTTTCACAGATATTACCGGGATCAAAAGGCGGTATGTATGTATTGACAGGATTTTTTTGTACCTTAACATTAAATTTGTGAGTGCATATCTCTAGAAAATACTGTATTTTTGCCACCAGAATGAGACTACAGTTTTGTTTTAATGAGTTGCTTCTTTTAAATTGCTCATTAGGCTTAATTTATATTCTCCTAAAAACAGTTTGGGCAGAAGTCGCATGTGGAGTGTGCTCGGTTTTCCCCAGATGGACAGTATCTGGTTACTGGCTCTGTCGATGGTTTCATTGAAGTATGGAACTTCACTACTGGGAAGATTAGGAAGGTAAGATGCGCCTTATTTCACATGGATAGTTCATTGGCCAGAGTACCTGGTTTTATTCTTTGAGATTATGCTCTGTTTGTTTTCATCTCCCTGGGACTGTGAATCTGAAAAGGATGCATGCTTGGGTGATTCAGATATTGGCCTGGAATCTTTACATGGGGTTAATCATCTGGTTTGTCATACACCTCCCTCTTCCATAACTTACTTTTTTTTTTTACCTTTCTGGATCATCACTGTTGCCTCTAAAATGGTGACAGTAGCACTTCCCTATTGTAAGGCTGTGAGATCTGCTTGATGATGGGTTATAAAATATAACTGACATTAAAACTGCTAGTACTTTTGCACTTTGCCTGAAAAGCTATTTCATTGAATTCACTATTTTGACTGATGGATCTCTTGCTTTCATTTAGGATCTGAAGTACCAGGCGCAAGATAACTTTATGATGATGGATGATGCAGTGTTGTGCATGTGCTTCAGCAGAGACACAGAAATGCTAGCAACTGGAGCACAAGATGGAAAGATCAAGGTACAAATCTTTTTGTATGGTATGTTGGTAGAGGTGGTGACCCGGAGGATTCACTTGTGACTGCAGTAATGTTGCAAGCCCATATAAAAAGAAATGAAGCTCAGCATGGCTCAGAAACAGATACATATTGGCTCTGATGTTTAAGCTTCTCTGATTTTATAACAAAGTAACTGCCTCTGTTTCACTTGCCTTTTCCAGGTTTGGAAAATCCAGAGCGGTCAGTGTCTGAGAAGATTTGAACGAGCTCACAGTAAAGGTGTTACATGCCTCAGTTTCTCTAAAGACAGCAGCCAAATTCTTAGTGCGTCTTTTGATCAGACAATCAGGTAAATAAAACAAGAATGTGTGAGCTACAGTGCAGGAGAAAATAAACCACAGAATTTTCACATTAAGCAGTTAAACTTTTGAATATAGATTCATTTTTCCCGGGATTTGATTCTTTTGCGTTGAGTTTTAATACTAATAGGAGAGTGTGACGGCTGAGGGTTGGAGAGGAATAGTTTGAAAGTTTGACTTTTCACCTTGCTTAACTTTCATTATTCAGGGCTAGGGGCCAGGTACTTCTGCTCTGTTGTCATTTACATTGCCCTTGCATGTCTTCTTTCTGGGAGACTCCTAGCTTAAGAAACAGTTGTGTCAACCTTCAAAAATAACATTTTTTTTGTAATAAGCTTAGGGTAAAAAAAGATCTGAAGGTAACATTTTTCAAAACAGCCTGAACAGCCTAATCATACTAGCTTTAATAGACGACATGACAGTAGTTGGTTCCATACAGTTTATTTTCCTTGTGAAGGAGTATCATGGGCTCTTCTCTTTTTGCTATCCAAAGAAATCGTCTGAGAGCAGCTTTAAGTATTTTGGTGCATCTTCTCTGCTTCCTCGTGGTAATTGCTGAATAGAGCAAAATTTCCAGAAGTCCAAAAGTGTTTGGGAATTTTAATTAGCAATAGTCATGGCTCTCCTGTGAATAAGGGTGTCTCTGTCCCTGGGAGCTGCATGTGGGTGAGAGGAGATAAGGTGCATCCCTACACATTCACAGCAAATCACTTTGCATCATGTTGCTGCTCTCTAAGTCATGCATTGCTGGCTCTTACCATAAAATGGTTCTCGTCTCAGCTCATGCCCTGAATCCATCTCTGTAATCCCAGCCCCCAGATCCACCCCTCTGTCTCTCTTGGATCCAGATAACTCCCTTTAGAGTGGGAACAAGAGGAAGATGGACCCAAGGAAAATGTTTTCTGGCTATCTGTTCTTCCCAGCAGCCTGACATGGAATACTAGAGATCCAGCCCTGGAAGACAGCTAGGCTGGTGGACCCTGAGAGCTTCAAGAGCAGGAGTTGCAGTTTGTATCTGGAAATGGCAGTACAGCCTTTCCTGTGCTTTAGGGTGCTGGGGTTTGATCTGTATCTCATCAGGTAGACATGGTGTATGTAAGGGAAGGCTGAGAGAGCTGGGCCTGATTGGCCTGGAAGAAGAAGGCTGAGAAGGGACGTAGTTGCCTCATCTAGAGGTAGTCATAGATAAGACAATGCCAGACTCTTCTCAGGCACACAGTTCCTACAAGAGACAAGCTCCTGGAAGTGAAATTCTGATTATATATAAGGCAAAACTTTATTTCCCCTTGAGAAGGAAGCAGTGCTTGGACAACACTGAGAGAGTTGGGTCAGGCTGGGGGGAGATCTCAACCCTTGAAGACTTCCAAAGATAAATTGAACAAAACCATGAGTGACTTGGAAGTTGACATTGCTTTGAGGAGAGCAGTGGAATGGAGGTCTTCTGAGGTTACTTCCAGCCTAAGTTACTCTGTGATTCACTGTTTTGGAATCTCTGGTAGAGAAAGATCATGTGGCCAGCTGATTTATACATTTATGCTGGCAAGAGAAAAAACCTTCTTTCAGTGATGAAAAAGAGCCATAGAGACAGGATCATTGTTCTCTTCACCCCCAAAAGATAATTCCCGTTTCTCCAGGCTGTATCTGCTGTTCTGCTTTTCGGCATGGGAATTGTTTCTGTTTGTCATGCAAACCATCCTTTGCTGTGTAGCACCAGCACTGTGTTGGGGTATGAGATGTGGGGGTTTTTAACCAGTCTGTGTGATTCAGTTTGCCAGTGTCTGTGGCATTCCTTTTGGGCATTGAAACTGTTCATGAAGTTGAAGGCCCACAAGCTGATACCTTGGAAACCCAGGAATGAGAGTTGAGCCTTTCTGCAGACTTCAGAGACGCTTTGTTGGCGCAATCCAGTTAGTGTAGTTTAGCAAGTTGGTAGTGTGTCAGCTCAGTTACAGTGGCTGGATATGAGGTCTGTCTGGAGAAAATCCAAGGAAGCACATCCCTCTTAATGTGGTTGGCCTAAACTGAACAAACTTGGCATTAGCTGACACTTTCCACATGCTATAAGACTTATGTGCATGCAGGTACTGCAGTTTACCTGGTGTGCAGATAATCTGTTAAACAACATCGTAAAGCAATGGATTGTTGTGGGACAGGTATGAAAGTGGTTAGGCTTGCATCCATGCTCTAAGAAAGCTCAAGTGTCTGTGCAACCCATGTAAGGCAGACAAGGCATAAATTATAAAATAGTTTAATTTAGAAGGTACCTCTAGAGGTCTCTAGTCCAATATGCTTCTTTAAGCACAATCAGTCTTTCAGTTAGGACAGCTTGCTCAAGGCCTTATCCAGCTGCGTTCTCAAAATCTCTATGGGTGGAGACCCCACTGCTTCTCTTGGCATCTGTCCTAGGGCTGTACAACCATCAGAGAAAATCCTGTTTGGCCATAAGGAATTAAGTTTTGCTTTGTTTTGTTTTGTTTCCTTTGTAACTTGTGCCCTTTGCATCTTGTCCTGTGCACCTCTGAGAAGACTCTGACTCCATTTATGCTGTAAAAACTTGTTAGGTAGTGATGTTAACCAAATAGTTAAAATTTCTCAGGTGTTTACTAAGGACTTAGATACCTTTTTTTTTTTTTTTAGAGGATCATTGCAGGGTGGATAAAAGCAAGAATGAAAGTTAATTGTAACTTTTAATACTAGCAAATAGTCACAAAAATACTCAAATTCTGTTCTAATCTGAGTTGCCAGATGGGCAGTAACCTCATAAAACCCTTGTTCGTGTGGCTCTTAGCATCTGGAAGGCGTTGCTTAACATTTGTGTAGCACGGTAATTCTGATGCCACATCTATTTGGTGTCTTGTTACTGAGTGGAATTTGCTCGCTGCTGGGTGGATATGGTTTGCAACAAAGCTCTTCTGTCATTATGCAGACACTTCACTGCAGCTGAAAGCAACCTAGATCAGTTTTATCTAGTTCACAGATAGTTCTCCTCTTTGTAGTTATTCTGACTTAATAATTTAACTTTTTTTTTTGTCTACAAGGAAGACAGCAATTAGGTGCTCCTGAACTTTCACTTCTCTGGGCTGAACACACACAGCCCTCAGCCTCTCCTCAGGCATCTTGTGGTCCAGCCCTGTGGCCATTTTAGTGGCCCCTTAGTAGGGCCCCAAAACTGGACATGGTCCTCCAGAAGTGGCTACAGCTCTGCCATGTAGGGGGGAACCTTGATCTGCAGACTGTACTTCTTCTAATGCATCTGGTGTGTGGCTGGGTTTTCTCAATGCCACAGCATGCTGCTGGCCTTCTTTTTGTTCTCCCTGAGGCCTACCAGGTCCTTCACTGTGGACCTCCTCTGCAGCTGGTCAGCCCCCCATTGCTTCTAATGCCTGTGGTGGTTCTGCAACAACCTGTTCTCAACATTATGAGGTTTCTCTTAGTCCATCTGTCTGTTTGTCAAAGTTTCCGACTTCCTTATCTGTCTCTTTCAAAACTGAGTTGCAGGATATGGGACATACACTGTGAATCAGATTAATCCAGCGCTCGATGACTGTATACATTTTATGTTTAATTGAATGGCATTATGTCATATGTTCAATAGCTTTAGGCTCTTGCCTATACTGTAAAACCTGGTGGTACCAATGGTGCTGCTTTAGATGAAAATGGAGAAATGTGTGGATCTTGGGGCAACTGCATGGTGAACAGGCATTACAAAAGGTCTTAATGAGAGACAATCTGTTTAAATCCTGATATATAAAAACTATAGCACAAGCATTTTAATTGAAATTACATAAGGTTGGATGTTGAATCAAGGATAGCAAGCTTAAAATGGAATAAAGAATTTAATTCTCAAGGCTTCAAACTTCTGGTTGAAAACTGTGTTTCTGTAGCCAGGAGGTACTACAATTTAAGGCTGATACTGATTAGCAATATAATTTCCTTTTAGATGACTGAGCAGACTCTTTGCAGAGTTGCACAGTAAGAGACAATGGCAAAGGCTTGCAAAAGAGAAAAATTCTGGCTGGATATAAGGGGGGCTTGTGATAAAGACTTTGGCTGTAGATTTTTAGTGCTATTTATTGTTGCCTGTCAAAGGTGTCTCAGATTTAAAATACGGTGAAGCCAGAGGGTGGTTCAGACTGCCTCAGTTGCTCACTCAGTTGTGATCTCTGTTGTGTGGCAGGATTCATGGTTTAAAATCTGGGAAAACTTTAAAGGAGTTCCGTGGTCATTCATCCTTCGTCAATGAAGCTACTTTTACCCAGGATGGCCACTATATCATCAGTGCATCCTCTGATGGCACAGTGAAGGTAAGACAGCACTTACCCTTTGTAAGTAACACATTCAGACTGTTTGCATGTTGTAGCTGATGTGTTACAGCTGCTGCAGTCACTGGAGAATGACTTGGGGTTATACCAGTAATAGGTCTTTCTGTTTGTGACTATTGCTGTAGATTGGTGTAAGTGAGAACTGATGAAGTTTCATACTGTGCCAACAGACTGCTGCAGAGCCCATTTCTGCTGTATTTATGAAAGGAGGACATAACTGCAGTACTTGCCTTCCTGTTCCTGCATTATTCTAGAAATAGAATTGACTGTGACACCTCTTGTCGAGGAATGTGGGGATTCCTTTGTCTGAAATAATGGCATTTTCTTGCTTACTGTGTTGGACACCTGTTTATTTCTTGGCGCTTAGCAGTCCCTTGCTGTGTAAGCTAGGTAATCTAGCATTAATGAAGTTGATTGTAGAAGTGATAGGTTTGGCTTCTAGTCTCAGCAAAGAGTGGAACTACGCAGTATGTAGTAGTTAAGAGGAGCAAAGCATTGTTGCATACAGGGCATTACTGACTAATAATAAATAAATGTGTATAGAAACACCTACATTAAGTAGGGTATCCATGCAGTGTATAGGGGGTGGGTAAACACATCTGGTTTATAGATGTGGCCTAGGAGGGTGTGACAGATTTTGCTCATATTAAATGGGGTGTTATTTCAAACTTGCAGTCTTTGCTAGACTGCCACAATCATGGGAATAGCATAAGGAGGTGGTATCTTTCATTTTGATTGTAGCAGTTTATAAACAGCAAAAATAATCCACAGATGATGAGTTACAATTTATTTTAAATATTAAACAAGCAGTTCCATTTCCTGTTTCTAAACAGCTAGAACAGCCTGGTGTTGAGCCTGAGGCAGCTCTAAGCTGGGACGTCTCTCCCACTGGCATCAGTGAGGCTTTGCTTTTTCAGCGATTTTCGTGTCTGTCTTGTGTAAGGTGAATTGCACGTGCACATGCATTCACTGATACCAGCTAACACCAGAAAGCAAGTCTGGACTCACCCCTCAGGGAATACGTGTAATGAAAGGGAGCCAGGCTGCATTTGGATAATGGAAATTCCATGCAGTTCAATTGTAGTGAAATTGTTGATAGTGTCCACACTCCAAAATAGATGCGATAATTTTTTTAAAATCTTTTTTAGAATTTTTAGAATTCATATTTCCCTTCAGGCACCTTAAAAATGGGAATCCTGTATCTTGAATTAGCTCATTGTTGTTTAATTTTTTTAAAGCTAATTGGTTTTACATTTATTTTCCATACTAGGTTTGGAACGTGAAGACGACAGAGTGCTCAAACACCTTCAAATCTCTTGGCAGCACTGCTGGGACAGATATTACTGTGAACAGTGTCATTCTGTTGCCTAAAAACCCAGAACACTTTGTTGTTTGCAACAGATCCAACACAGTTGTCATCATGAATATGCAAGGACAAGTATGTGATCTTACTGCTGTCCTTTCAAATCTTTCTCTGTCATTTTAAGAATGCCAAAAACCTAATTAATAACCTGGCCTGGGGTTAAACCTGATTTCTCCAGTTTGCTTTTATGACAAACTATTCTGTACCCAGATTGTAGAACAGCTTGACTTGCAGAAAGTGATTGCCCCTATGGAAAGATCCCATGTTTTAAACAGACCTAGTACTGCCGAAATATTTTTGCTCTGAACATAGTAATGATGTGCTGCAATTTAACCCTGCCAAATACTTTTCTGGGGGGGTATCTTTACAGATTGTAAGAAGTTTTAGCTCTGGTAAGAGAGAAGGTGGTGACTTTGTCTGCTGCGCACTTTCACCTCGTGGTGAATGGATCTACTGTGTTGGTGAAGATTTTGTGCTCTATTGCTTTAGCACAGTGACTGGCAAGCTGGAGAGAACTCTGACTGTAAGTTCTTAGCTTTGAGATTTTGCAGGCTTCTAAACACAAGGATGATCCAAATGCTTGTTATTTATGAAGTCTGTAAGGAGAAGTCTTGTACCAAAGGCGTTCCAGAACAGTTGGCTGTAGAATGTCTTTATGTTTTTTTAGAACCATTTTAGTTTTAAAAGTTATGAAAATGTTTACCTACCACGCCAAGAGTGAATTGATTCAAACTTATTTGAACTGGAGCATATCTTGGCCTGGGCTCTGGCTGATGGAGAATCTCACCAAGCTGTCAGATTTAAAACTGTCGGGCTTAAATTTGCTCTGGATTAAACTAAAGAGGAATACCATCTTGAATGTCTAAATTTAATGGGGAACACTTAGATGTTGTGGATTTCAGTGGATGTAAACCTTCACTGAACCTTCCCTTGCCCCACAAAAAGTACCTGCTGTGTTGCAAAAATTATTGTGAACTGGAACTTAATACTGGGGGTGGGGTGGGGTGTGTGTGTATGTTCCTCTGCTTTTGCCCTGTGCACAAAGCATTTTAAACTTCAGTCCAGCTTTCCTCTAGCTCTTATTTGAATCTGCTAATGGAAGAATCTGCTGATGCATCTTTCTGCTTACTCTCTAGGTTCATGAAAAAGATGTCATTGGCATTGCTCATCACCCCCACCAGAACCTGATTGCCACGTACAGTGAAGATGGCCTCCTCAAGCTCTGGAAGCCATAGCTTGATTTTACAATGAGCTATGAAGTATGCCTGTTAGTTGCAGGTTATTGATGTTTGTGCTTTAACAAGGTCTAAATGCACAGAATGTGGATATTTGCTCAATTTTCAGTTGAGGTTTCCAGAGAATTACATTTTTACTTCTTGGTCTAAAGTTAGGTAGATTGATGCTTAAATATAGCATCAATTAATTTCAGATACTTTTATTTTTACCAGAGTAGCCGAAGCAACTTCAGTGAGAATGTTTTTTCTGTCTCCTGAAGTCTGTACTCTTCCTACAGTGTTTATAAAAGTTGAACAAGCTAGGATCTACACACAGTTACAAGTGGTTGCTGACTTCCTACAATACAGTAAAATGCTTTTTTTTTTTATTTGAATGAATTATGTGAAATGGGAAAGCTGTCTTTTCTCCAGTGCTGAAACAAAGGCACAGTTTTCCTGGAATGCTGATGAGGCTGCTCTGTCGTCAGCTTGAAGGCAGAGGCTTTTCTAGTCCAGTGGGTTTTGCTGTGTTCAATTTTCACTATAGTTTTTCCAATTGTACGTATTAAGTAGTGTCACACAGCTTCCTCAGAACGGAATTATTCTTTCCCATCTCCCAGCACTTCCTGCTATAAACCAGCCTAACTTTGCAGTGAGATATAGTTGCATTTTTTGGTTTTTTCATTTGTTTGGTTGGTTTTTTTGGGGATTTTTTGTTTTGTTTGTTGGTTTGTTATTGTTTGGTTTGGTTTGTTTTACTTCCAGGCTAAAAGGAATTACTACCTGGGCCCTCTTCCTACAAGTGCATAATGTCTTCAGACCAGCTTTAACTGAAGCAGTTCCTTCTGGGGTGCCATGTCACCACAGGACTTGCTTTTCAAGGCCTAGGATAGTGTTCTGGGTGGATATGTTTCCCGCCATCTAGTGGTTGCTTCCACCATGGTGAGCATATAGTGCTTGCCTTGGTGGGTTAGTGAGTGTGATATAATCAATCTCCCAGGCCTCCCCATATAAATATTTCAGCCACTGTCTACCAGAGGGGCTTTAAAAGCTTGGCTTACTTGATCACAGTGCATGTTTCATGTTCATGGATAACACGTGCAATAGTGTCCATGGTCAAGTCCACCCCTTGATCACGAGCCTGTCTGTATGTTACATCTCTTCCTTGGTGGCCTGAGGTGTCGCAGGCCTACCAAGCTAGAAATAATTCACCCTTATGTTATGTGACCAGCTTTAACTGAAGCAGCCTCAGGGGATCAATGTTTTAAAACATGCAAAAGCCAGTTTACAGAGGCCAAGTTCCTAGTGCTGTGGTGCTGCACATGCTGCAGTTGTTTTGGTTTTTTTCCAGTTTACTCAGTTTAGCTTCCTGTTTTCCCAAAAGAGCATGGCGTACTTAAGCTTTAAATAATTACTTGTAAGATTTCTTTTTAATTTCATATACCTTGGACCTAGTTAAGGTGATACTTAGGTCCCACACTATGATAAAAAGAAGCCTCCAGGCTCTTCAGTTTTGAGCAGATGATTCCATTTGAGATCCTGACTAATGCACACAGCTGTGAATGTACACCAGAATCTTCTAAAGTCTGACCACAATTTTTGTAGGATGCAGCAAAAAATGAGGTTTTGTCTGTAATGATGAGACAAATGCGTGTAGATCTGAATGTGCCACACAGTTTCCTGTCCTCATCTCTGGTAGAATGCTTTCCTACCACAGTAACCTAGCTTCTCTTTGACTTTATAAATTAGTTCCAATTCAAGTACCCTCACAGTTTTCTTCAGCTGGAGGGCTTCATCCTAACGCAAGTATTGGTTGCCAGCTGGTGACTGACCTTCAGCACTGACTGGTGCACTTAATGGGTCTACATGCATATTGGTCTAAGGAATTGCAGAAAAATTTCAGTTTAGCATCTCACATAGCATTGCTTGTTCACTACAACTGTAGTGTTTAGTTCTGTGTTTAGCTGTAATGTTTTAATTCCCAAGTTGTTTTTTACTTCCTTAGATATGGCAATAAAGTTATTTTTTCAGACAGCAAAAAGTGATTATTTTTCCTGCCTGAAGAGACACCTGTGTGTCAGAAACATCTGACAGTCCTACATCTGGCAAGCTCCATTGGCAGTTTGTACTTTTGATCAAGGAGAAGATCTCTACGTTATCTAACTCGTGGTTCATTTTGCCTTCAGATTACACGGAACTGTTAATCCTCAATGTAGACAATATTTTACATTGTTCTTTAAAAGAAATGTAGTTGTAGCAAATAAAGCTGTCAGAATCCCGAATGTTTAAAGATTTAAATACATTCTCTAGCTTAAAAATGGGAGAAAATCTGGCATTTACGCTTTTTATATAAGAGTTTCAGATTTTGTTGCATCAAGTAGTCATGACAAAAAAGCTAAATGTAATGCTTATGAAAGGGCAATGCTAATACTTACCTCCTGGGGTGCAGCTGTAATTTGTAAAATAGGTGGCAGTTGGTACAAAAGTACAATTATAATCTTGGAAATGTTGATTTTTTTTTTAATTGTAAAATGTTTTGTTTTGTTTTTTTTTAAGGTAAATGTTAATTTTTTTAATGTAATCTAGGAAGACATTTTCTCTCTGGAGAATCAGCCAGGTGTTATGCCACTTAGCTGTTTGTAAGACTTGAACAAGGCAACATCTAGTGCTTTAACTAATATTAAAGAAGGCATTGTTCACCCATGGGCCTTGCTTTATTCTTCAATTTATTTTGCTTGGAGCTAGTGAGTTCCGTGACATAGAGGAACGCAAAATCCTTTGCAGGGGGAGCGCTGTGTAATGGAAGTCTCATGGGTCAGTTCATCCTCCTGCTGCTGAATTGGAGATCAATGAATTTCAGCCTTGCATGGGTGGAATCAGCTGCCCATCTGCATGTGCTTGCAGAATGTATGTGGAAGAGCTACTGCTGCCTCAGCAAAAAATAAGCGCCCATAGGTTCATGCGCAGTTATGCAGCTGGTGGGTGTAATGGGGTTTTTTTTAATGTTATTGAGGAAATACTTTGCCCAAGTAACATGAGCCTGTAGATAATGGTGTGTAGTCCTGCTCTGAAACCACTGCCAGCTTGCCATCTGCAAAGAAAAATCAAACCTTCCCTTGAGTCCTAGAAAGATTTAGAGAGACCAGCTGAAAACTGGAGAGTTGGTCTCAAAAAGAAAAGATCCTTTGTGGATGTCTTACAAAGCAGCCAAATCTTTGTCTGAGAGACTGGACAGCCTCCATGGGTGTCTGCCAGCCCACGTGAATCAGTGATGTTGCATGTGTTGCTGAGGATGTTGAACTGTGAGCTTGGGTGGGAGGGCCTGCCTCTGGTGCGGGGCAGCTTAGTAACACGTGTTCAGTCAGAGATAAGAAGGGAAAGAAAATCCATGGCAGAGATTTGTAGGACAGGTGATGCTAAAAGTCAACTGTAAAAGCTCTTCAGGTACAGTTTTTCTTCTCTTTCTGCCTCGTGTCTGCATGGGTCCGGGGAGTCCTTTGTAAGTCCTTTGTAAGCATGGTTACTCCATCTCCTGTTGATGATGTGGGCTCCAGTGAGTGTGCTCCAGATAGCTATACATAAACCCTGTGACCTTCTGGATCATGACGACTTGTGAGAGACAGGCTGAGCAAACTTGGATGTGAATGTCAGGGGGAAAAGCATAGGCTTCAGGTGAATCGTAAGGAGAAAGGCGGTGTATTGTGGTTTAGCCCCTGCCAGCAACCAAACCCCACACAGCCACTCACTCACCCTCCCCGCCCCCGGTGGGATGGGGGAGAAAATTGGAAGGGTAAAAGTGAGAAAACTCGTGGGTTGAGGTAAGAACGCTTTCATAACTGAAATATAATGATAATAAATTAATAATAATAGTAGTAATAATAATGAAAAGGAAAACAAGGTTCACTACAAGGACTTTATCCCCTTCCAAAGTATGTAAGAATTTTGACTGGGGAGGGCCATCTCACTTGACAGATTCCCCAGTGTTGACTACGCAGGTCACCTTTGCTAAGTGTGTATCCCAATGTTTGAATGTCCCAGCACCCATTGCCCTCAGTGTAGTCTTTAACAGCCCTTTGTATCTTTCAATTTTCTGGGAGGCCGGTACATGATAGGGGATGTGATAGACTCACTCAATGTCATGCTCTTTGGCCCAGGTGTCTATGAGGTTGTTTTGGAAATGAGTCCTGTTGTCTGACTCAATTCTTTCTGGGGCGCCATGTCGCCACAGGACTTGCTTTTCAAGGCCTAGGATAGTGTTCTGGGTGGATATGTTTCCCGCCATCCAGTGGTTGCTTCCACCATGGTGAGCATATAGTGCTTGCCTTGGTGGGTTAGTGAGTGTGATATAATCAATCTCCCAGGCCTCCCCATATAAATATTCCAGCCATTGTCTACCAGAGGGGCTTTAAACGCTTGGCTTATTTGATCACAGTGCATGTTTCATGTTCATGGATAACATGTGCAATAGTGTCCATGGTCAAGTCCACCACTTGATCACGAGCCCATCTGTATGTTACATCTCTTTGAGGTGTCACAGGCCTACCAAGCTAGAAATAATTCACCCTTGTGTTGCCAGTCCAGATCTACCTGAGCCACTTCAATCTTAGCAGCCTGATCCACTGCTGGTCGTTTTGATGTTCTTCAGAGGCCCGACTCTTGGGTACATGAGCATCTACATGATGTACTTTTACAGCCAGGTTCTCTATCTGGGCAGCAATATCTTGCCACAATGCAGCAGCCAGATGCCAGCTTCTTCCAGCCTCTGCGCTTTC